TCTGCTCTGCTCCTTCCTTACCACCTTTCTCTGCCCCTTCTGGGGCTGTTCTCTGTGCTGTGGGTCCTGAGTGCCGACTGGTATCCTGAGCTCCCCGTGAAGCCCAGCCCTGCTGTCTCCCTCAGATAGGTTTGTGTCTGGGCTCACACTGATTTTCCCTCACTGTGTCTCACACAGTAATACACAGCCATGTCCTCGGTGGTCAGGGAGCTCAGCTACAGGGAGAACTGGTTCTTGGACGTGTCTCTGGAGATAGAGGTTGGGCTCTTGACGGAGGGGCTGTAGCAAGTTTTCCATCATAATGTGTGTGCCCCATCCACTCCAGCCCCTTCCCTGGTGACTGGTGAATCCAGTTCCAGCAGTAACCAATGGTGATAGAGTAACCAGTGACAGTGCAAGTGAGGATTCACCAGTCCTGGGCCTGACTCCTGCAGCTGCACCTGGGACAGGACACCTGGGACCGAGAGAACACAGTGAGTCCTGGGCTCAGATGCAGGATCACCATCTCTTCACATCTAAGCCCTGAGCCAATCACATCTGGGAGCTGACAGCAGGAAGAGGAAGAGCCACATGGGAGTCATGATCTTGCAAGTGAGGTCCTCTCCCCCAGAAAGTATTCTCCAGGGTGAGGAGGGCCTGAATTTAAGTGGACACCAATTGTATGTGTGTGTGCGTGGTTGTCATGTGGGCATTTGCATATGGGAGGTGTCTGCACTTACAAAGGGCAAGAGTGAGGGGAGGTCCCTGTCTCTGGGGCTTCTCCTGGAAGGATGTGCTGACTGTGCCCTCAGAGAACCAGGCCTTCCTTGGGGTCTTGGTCACTCTGCCCAGGGACCTCTTCCTCCACAGCAGGAGATGTGCTGCAGGAGTTGGTCAGGAAGTAGGATGTTAGAGCAATCAGTGACTCTTTAGGGATAAAATCAATGTGCCTCTGCTCCCATGGTTTAGACAGGTGGCATAGATATATATCTTCTTTTCTTTATCGTCACCTGAGAATATGTTCATGGAATTTTAGAGTGAAAAAAAGGGGATGGGGAGTGAGAGAGAGATATTGATGTCTGAGAGAAATATTGATCAGTTACCTCCTGTATATGCAAGGACTGAGAATCAAATCAGCAATCATTTCATTTATTTATTTATTTAAATGTGTTTTTATTGACAGGAATGAGAGGAAGAGGGAGAGAGAAACATCAATGATGAGAGAAAATCATTGATTGGCTGCCTCCTGCATGCCCACTACTGGGGATCACGACTGAAATCTGGGCATGTCCCCTGGCCAGGAATGGAATCATATGTCAATGCTCGACCACTGAACCACACCAGCTGGGCTGCAGTCCCTTTTGTTTTGTTTCCTTGTTTGTGTTTTTAATTGTTATCTGAAGATATTTTTCCATTGATTTTTAGAGAGAGTGAAAGAGAGAGGCAAAGACAGAGAGAAATATTAATGTCAGAGAAACACATGGATTGGTTGCCTCCTGTACATGCCCCAACCAGGGCTCTGGACAGGGAGTATCCTGCAACTGAGGTACATGCCCTTGACCGGAATCACCCCCAGGACCCTTCTGGCTGCAGACTGGCGCTGAATCCACTGAGCAAAAAAGCTAGGGCCAGTTTTAAAATATATTTCAGTTAGTTTAGAATTCTACCTTGATATCTTTTCAATTTTTCTTCAGCATTTTATAGTCCTCATTCCTTTGTCCTCTGGTTATGATAGTTTTTCAAGAGACATTTAATGGTTTTATTGATCATTTTTAAAACTAAAAATTGTTTTTATTGATTTCAGAGAGGAATGGAGAGGGAGAGAAAGAGAGAAACATCAATAATGAGAGAGAATAATTGATCAGCTGCCTCCTGCATGCCCCCTACTGGGGATGGAGCCCACATCCCGGTTCGGTGCCCACACTGGGAATTGAACAGTGACCTCCTAGTTCATAGGTCGATGCCTAACCACTGATCCAGGCGGGATGCTCCTGCACTTTTAGGATCCACACAGCTCCCTGTGTACCTGGGCTCTGGTCAGTGGGATGTTGGCAACATTATAGGTGACCAGGCACCAGCCCTTCCCTGACTGCCCTCTGACTCCAGTGTCCATGAGCTTGTCCACCATGATCATCAGCAGCTCACGGGCCCCCTGGAGGTTCCCTCACCACACATGTGAGCTGTTCGAGGTGCTCTGAGTTCAGTGGTCAGCTGTGTTTCCACCTGACACAGGTGGGGCCCCCACAGCCTGACATCACATGTGGGCACTGCACATGGGCTTTATGAAGAAAATAAGTTTTTTGGGGGGGTGTAAGAAGCAGCCTGACTCTCTAACTAGTTAATCAGTATCCCTAATGCACATTCCTGTTAATCTATAGTCCATTGCCCCTTCCTTAATTATCTAGTTTTGCAAGACCTTCTTACCTAAATGCTCACATTTTACAGAGGCCAAAAACCATGAAAAATACACAACTCCTGGAGGGGGTTATCAGCCCTGATGACAGGCCAGGCCTTTAGGTGTGGTCTCACGGCCCCCATCCCAACACATGGGGCTTTTTGCAAAGCCCACTTAAGGTGCAGAAGTTCTATCCATATGCCTGAGTCACCCTGGCCCTGGCCTTTCAGGGAGGGACTGGCACAGGAAATGGGCATGAGGGGATGGCGTGGGGGTGCATTTAAGGCAAAAACTACCAGGGTGGGAAGGAGAGGACAGAGTGTAGCCACAGGGGACATCCTGTGCAGGCCTGATGGGGTCAGAATGTGGGCAGTGGAGGACAGAGGGTGAGGATGGGGTGGTGTCTGCAGAGCCTGGAGGCACAGCAGAGGTGGGTGGGGACCATATATCCTTTCATCAGGTTCTCAGGATCCAGATGGATTCTCTAGGGCAGTGGTTCTCCACCTTCTGGCCCTTTAAATACAGTTCCTCATGTTGTGACCCAACCATAAAATTATTTTCATTTCTACTTCATAACTATAATGTTGCTACTGTTATGTATCGTAATGTAAATATCTGATATGCAGGATGGTCTTAGGTGACCCTTGTAAAAGGGTCGTTCGACAGCCAAAGGGGTCACAACCCACAGGATGAGAACCACTGCACTAGAGGAAGCGGGTCAGGTGTTGAGACGTGTCCTTGGGGACTGGGTTCTGAGATATATGCCGAACCAGGCCCAGCAGGGCTGTGACAGACCCTGTCACTGGACCTCCATCTTGCCTCCATCCCAGGACACCCTGAGCCCTAGGTCCTCTTCTCAGGTTCACAGAGTCAGCAGCACATGGGGGTTGGAACTTAAACCTCCATGTGCAGCCATGTCAGTGAGAGGCAAGCAGATAACTGCCCCAGAAGGGTCCTCCCAGTGGCAGAACAAGGGGCTTATCACACTCAAGTGAGGTTTGGAGCCTGAACTCTGCATTCCCCCTCTGTGTTGGAGGCTGGGGGACATCGCTCTCAGTGGGAGGACAGGAATCCATACAATGTTTTCCTTGCCAGCCCAGAGAGCGACCATCTGGGATGTGGTGAAAAGAAGAGCCAAGATGAGAAGTCTACCAGATCTGAAAACACAGCCACCTCCTACTTTTTTGTCAGCAGCAAATCTAAATAAAGACACAAAGAAGCAAGCAGGAACTGCCCCAGGGACAACAGGAGGGAAGAAATCATAGACCCCAAAAGGAAACCCTCGCAACCCCTCCAGGGAGAGCTTCTGAGTTGAGACCTTGGTTTGCTGGTCCTTATCGCCCCCTGGTGGCCTGAGCGCCCCCCTGTAGCCCAGCCCTGCTGACTCCCTCAGGGCGTTTTGGGTCTGGGCTCACACTGACTTCCCCTCACTGTGTCTCTTGCACAGTAGTACAGGGCCATGTCCTCATCTCTCAGGCTGTTCATTTGCAGATACAGCGTGTTCTTCGCATTGTCTCTGGAGATGGTGAATCGGCCCTTCACAGAGTTGGCATAGAATGTGCTACTTCCATCAGGATTAATATATGAGACCCACTCCAGCCCTTTCCCTGGGGCCTGGCGGACCCAGTCCATTTCATAGTCACTGAAGGTGAATCCAGAGGCTGCACAGGAGAGTCTCAGAGATGCCCCAGGCTGCACCAAACCTCCCCCAGATTCCACCAGCTGCACCTCACACTGGACACCTGCAAACACAGAGACACAAGGTGGATTTAGAATCACATGGAACCAAAAACAGGCACAGGTCTCAGTGATCCCCTCTCCTGAGAATGACCTTGAAAAATGATCAGGAGGAAAAAGCAGCTTGGCACCAAGTCCATGGTGAAGCCCCTGGGGTCCTGTCTCAGGCACTTGGGTGCTGGGTGTCTCCCCAACATGGCGGGCAACTGCCCTCTTTTATGAGCAGGAGGAGAGCCCCATTTGCATGGAGTCTGGATAAAAGGGTGCATCTGGGACCCTGGGCTGCAAGCCTGACTTTGTCATCCTAGCGGTGACCCCAGATGGGAAAGGACTCAAGGATGCTGGCCACAAGGGGTCCTGTCCTGACCCACCCTTCCTCCCTCCTTTCCTGAGATCAGTCACCCTGACCCCATTCCTTTGGGGGCAGCTTCCAGGATTGAGAATCGTCCATCCTTGGGGTTTTGATGAGGACCCAGGGGTGCTGCACCCAGTGCCCGGTGGTTTGACTTCCTTTCACTCTCCTTCACCCGTCGTGGCCATGTTGCCTTTCTTGGATTTGGGAATAAGAATTTGCATTGGAATGAGATTTTTATTTTGAGACTTAAAGATTCTCCATGTTGTTTTTGCCAGTAAGATCTCCCACAAAACTCAAACGTGTACAAGTGACGAGGCAGATTCTGGACACTGACGAGGCAGAGTCTGGACACTGTCACCGCAGATTCTGTCTCAAACCTGCTGTCCCTGTCACAGCACACAGCTACCTTTCCAAAACCACACATTTCACTCAGCTTACCTTCAGTTCCTTTGCAAAAGTCCCATTTCCCAGCCTTTCAAAGTGGGAAAATTTCCATCATTTAAAAATGGATCCCTGGCGGGTGGCTAGGGTGAGCTAGAGAAGGTCAATGCTGGGGGAAAAAAGGGGGACATGCGTGATACTTTCAAAGTAAAAAAATAATAAAAATAAATTAATTTAAAAAATGGAGTTCTGGCCCTGGCTGGTTTGGCTCAGTGGATAGAATGTTGGCCTTCAAACCAAAGGGCCTCAGGTTCAATTCTAGTCAAAAGCACGAACTTTGGTTGTAAGCTCCTCCCTGGCCCTTGACCTGGTGAGGGCATGTGCGAGAACCAGTTGATCTGTTCCTCTCCCATCAATTGTTTCCTCTTCCCCTCCCTTCCTTCTACTCTCTCTCTGAAAAGCAATGGAAGAAATACCCTTGGGTGAGGATAAAAAAAGGAATATGTTTGCTCTTGGAAGCAAATCCTGGGTAGAGCATTGAGGCACCAAGTCATCCTTGGGGACAGGTGAGCACCTTCCTTTTCGGAGGATAGTGGCCACCTGTATCATCCAGGCAGGTGAGGACAGACAGACACAGGAATCCAGGACTGTGGTCAGCTTGTTGTTATTGGGAAGTTGGCCACCATCACTTGCAAAGTGCAATCACACCAGGGAGGATATGAGGCATGGGCAAGTCAAACACCACAAAGCCTTACTACTTTCTTCTTTTTCATTTTTTATTATTCTTTTAAAATATATTTTATTTATTTCAGAGAGGAAAGCAGGGGAGATAGAGGTAGAAACATAAATGATGAGAGAGACTCCTCCATTGATGCCCCTGGCACACCCCCACTGGGGTTCCAGGCACATGCCCTGACCAGGAATCCAACCATGACCTCTTGGTTCATAGGTCGATTCTCAACCAGTGAGCAACACATGCTGGGTTCTGGGGTTACCTGTTACCATTTCTTTCTTTCCATTAAAAAAAAAAATAAGATTCCTTTACTTGGGTAGTTTTGTTAATCCTCACCTGAGGATATTTTCCCACTTATTTTTAGAGATCATGGAAGGTGGGGGGAGAGGGAGAGAGCTGATAGAGACACATTGAGTAGTTGCCTCTTGCTGGTAGGGATGGCGCTTGCAATGGAGGTACGTGCTAATGAAGGGAATTGGACCCAGGGCCCTTCATTCCAAAGGCTGACACTCTATCCACTGAACCATATGGGCTAGGGCCCCTGCTTCCATGTCTAGTTAACACTGTGGAAACCCCAGCACAGCAGGCAGGCAGCCAGGGTCCTTCCAGGTGGACCGACAGACCTGGGGGTTGTCTGTGTTGCTGAGATGAGAAGAATAGATGGTGAGGCCCCCAGAAGGGCAGCCCCAGGTGCCAGGGTACAAGGGTACATGAGGAGCTAGACTGGAACCTCTCTCCAGAGAATTAATCAGAAAGAACCACCCAGACCCCCTCTCCTGCAGGCTTGTGGTGGGCCTCGCTGTGTGGGACCCGCCGGAGCCAACTGGTCAGGTCCCCATGAGGGCTGAGGGAAACACAAACCTAAATTAGGAAAAAGTCAGTTTTCCCAGGTACCAGGAAGAGACAGGGACTTCCTCTGTTACCTTCAACATTCAGGCAAGTTTCAATGTCAGTTTAAAAGCTCACTGAGCGCCTCCCCAGCTTTACACCCCAGTGTGTTTTCTGGGGACCTCGCTATTCTCTCTGAAGTGTGACCACTAAGGGGCACCCCTCTCCCCACTTCTGTGGAAGCAAGAGGGCAGCCAGACTTCAGAGGGCTCCTGGCTCCCAGGTTCAAACCTACTTCCTTTCCTAAAGAGGCAGAGGCTTCATGTTCCTGGGATCAGGTCAATGAGCAAACACATGAGGCCCCTCCAGTCAACTGGGGATTTAGGGTGAATTCTGGGTGACAAATGATGCTGCCAAGTTCCTCCTTGAGGCTGCACCTCTGTGAAAAACTGTCTTTCTGTGGATAGTTTCCCACAGGAACTCAGTTCCCTCCCTTTATCTGCTGTTTTGCCAACCCCACACAGGCAACACCACTGCAGTTACGATAAGTCTTAAAATTGGGAAATTGATTCCTGTAACTATTTTTCCTTTCCCAATATTGCTTAGATGTTTCTGTTCCTTTGTCCTTTGTCCATATCAATTTAAAAATCAGTTTGTCCATGTCCATATAATCCATGCTGAAATTTAGACTAATATTCTGTGAAATCTGAAAGTCAGTTTGTGGAGAAATCTTCACTGAGCTGGCTCTTCTAATCTAAGTCTCCAGTTGTTTTTGGATTCTTTGGTTTATTCTCGGACATCCCTCTCACAATCCAGAACTGTTGGCTCCCAATCACTCACCTGCCTGCCTGCCTACTTGCCTACCTGATTTCCCCTAACTCCTTTTGCCTGCTAGCCTGATCAAAGCCTAACACTCCCCTGGCAACCTGATCATCTCAACTTTCCTCCCCTGCTGGCCTTGTTGCCCCCAACTGCCCACACCTGCCAATTCGGTCACTCCTAACTACCCTTCACTGCTGACCTGGTCCCCCTCAACTGTCCTCCATCCCCTGAAGGCACAGTCACCCCCAACTGCCCTACCCTGCTGGCCATCTTGTGGTGTCAATCTTGTGACCATATGGGTCATCCATCTTGTGACTACATGAGGGCGCCAATTTTGTGATGACATGAGGGCGGTCTTCTTGTGACAACATGTGAGCAGCCATCTTGTGACCACATGGCGGTGGCCTCTTGTGCAATGGCATGATGGTCAATTTGTATATTACCTCTTTATTATATGGGATACATATATAATTGATTTCAGAGGGGGAGGGAGAGGGAGAGAGAGATAGAAACATCAATGATGAGAGAGACTCATTGATTCATTGGCTGACACCTGCTTACCCCACAAAGCAGATCAAGCCTGCAACACAGGCATGTGCCCTGACCAGGTATCCAACCATGACCTCCTGGCTATTAGGTTGATTTTCAACCACTGAGCCTCACCGGCCATACTATATTTTAATTTTGCGTTACATTTACACATGGCTAGTGTATAGAAATAGAATCATTTTTGTGTATTTACCATGATTTTGCTAAAATCACGAATTAATTCTCAGAGATTTTAAAGTTGATTCTTTTGATTTTCTTTTTTCATAGATAAATATGTCACATGCAAGTAGGGACACTTTGTGTCTTTTGTTGAAATTTTAATGTCTCTATGTATTTTTCTTTTCTTATTCCACTTGTTAAAAAGGTCAAGTACAAGGTTGAATATAGGTGGTAAGAGTGGACTTTTTTTACTTTGTCCCCATCTGAGGGGGAATCATTTAACTCCCCATAATGAAGTATGATAGTAGCTACAAGACTCCCATGATCAGTTTCAGAAAGTGCCCTTTTATTCCAAGTTCCCTAAGTGTTTTTATTATGAATTAATGTTGTGCTTTGTCACACATATTTTTGTATTGATTTTTATGACCATGTGAATTTTCATATTTACACAGTTGACCTATTGGAATCAGCTGGTTAATTTTAAAATATTGAATCAGCTTACCCTAGCTGGTTGGGCTCAGTGGATAATGTGTTGGCCTGCAGACTGAAGGGTCCATGGTTTGATTGCATTCAAGGGCATATGCCTGGGTTGGAGGCTGTATCCCCAGTAAGGCATGTGCAGGAAGCAGATGATCAATGATTCTCTCTCATCTTTGAGGTTTCTATCTCTCTCTCATTCTCCCTTCCTCTCTGCAATCAGTAAAAATATTTTTAAAAATATCGAATCAGCATTGAATTGTTGTGATAATGCCTGCTTTGTCCAGATGCAGTAATACTTTTTTATATTGCTGGTAAGATTTGCTAATATTTTGTTAAGGATTTTAGTAAATATGTTAACAGATTTCGGTGTGTAGTTTACTATTTCTTTGTACTGACTGCACAAAGAATGCCAGTCTCATAAGAATGCATTCAGGAATATGTATATCCCGTAATTAATTTCTGATATTGGTCATTTATCTCTTTACCAGTCTTGTTAGCACTTGATTAGTTTTATTTATCTTTTCAAAGATTCAGCTATTGATATTATTCATTTTTCTCTATCATTTTCCTGTTTTGATTTCATCAATTTCTGTTTATCTTTATTTTTCCTTCCTTCTGCTTGATATTAATTGATTTTCCTTAACTAATTTTTAAAAAATATTTACTATCGAGAGTATTACTGATGTCTCACTTCCCCCCCCATATTACCCCTCCACCCTACTCCTAAGGACTTCACCACCCTTCTTTCTGAGTCCATAGGTAATGCATATATCCATATATGTTCTTTGGTTTAATCACTTTCTACCCTTCCCTCCCGCTTTCCCTCTGAGATTTGTCAATCTGTTCCATCTTTTCATACCTCTAATTCTATTTTATTCATCATTTTATTT